CGCGAAGGACTACGTCATGAGTCGAACTCAAACCCTATCTAGGATCGAGTCGCGAATAAGGCTAAGAGCCGTGTATTGCAAATGTGACAGAGTCCTGATTTCACAAGTGTTGGAACCATTGGCTGGAAATTACACACAAGAAACAGCTGATGCAGTTGTAGAGGCCCTGGAGACTGCTGTCAGATATGGTCTGATTCATTCTCGGGAACACTGTTTTGAACTTGTGCGCCAACTCCTGGAGAAATCACCTATCAGCTTCAGCGAAGACTCTCTGAGACGTATTGTTTTGCTTGTCAAAGGCAATCAAGACTGCCGCACTTCCCTCTTGGCAAATCTAAAGACTTTCTTGCCAGAATCAATGACAAGAGGACAGCAGGAGTTGTTGATTCAGAATGGAATCCTGCATCATTATCTGAAGAGTGAATTCCACAAAGACGAAAGGACACAGCCGCTCATCGATGGTCTTGTGGGCTATCTAAGACAATGTGTGGACCACACGCCACATAAACGAGAAATTGCCAGAGACCAGGTTGTGGGGCATCTGTTTCCGGAATGGGAAACGCACGCCACCTGCCAAGTTTTTTCCATGCTCGGCCGGGCCGTAGATTTGCATGACTGACCTGTATTTCCAGTTCACCCGGAGATGTTGCTGCACAAGTACCCTCTGGGTGATAATAGTGACACCATTGTGCAAAAAAGATTTATCTGGAGTGAATCCTACGGTGTAACCCAATCACCAACAGCAGTATTGTAGCTAACTGTCATTGCTGACTCGTTTCCTGGCATTAACAGTCTTCAGCAGATATTTTGCGGATCCCAAAATAGCCTTCGTTGATCTGTCCTCCGCGAGCCTTATTGATCTGGGTGTTGCAGTTCTGGGCATCCAGTTCCTGCTTGCTTATGGTTTTGGGGGACGAGGAGACTATAAAAGTAGACGGGCATGATGATGCCGATGGAGTGTAGCTTGGCTTGGTTACCGCTAGCCAATCCAAGCCGTGAGGCAGGCGAAAGAGATACCGCTTAGTTTTGATTTGCAAACCTGCTGCCACTGGATGCCGTAGCAGCTAGACTACCCCTCCTCCCTAAGCCTTGGGCGCCAAACAGATGACGACGCACTATGGCTGGCTACTGTTAGCATAGATGACCTCCTTGTGGCACCAAACCGTCCCGCCCGTGCATCCTTGCCATCACCAAATTGCATCACTCCCGCGTCTTCCTTTGTCACTACTTGCTTGCTTGCTTTTTGATTGGAGACCATTTTGACTCCCGGTCGGGACCCAACGTCAGCTTCCCACTGGACATACGCGTACTTCAACAAATTTCACTCCACTCAGCCACACGAGTTTGATGGAAGAGTGCGTTGAAGCATTATGGGAATGCGATTGTAGCGAGCACCTCGTCACTCCAATTTTTTATTTTTGGGGAAGACAAAGAGTGAGAAGAAGCTACCACCCTTTTGCATACCACCACCATGCCCGGTTATCGTCAGTATACTAATAATAATGGAGACTGCCATAATAATGGTAGCAGCACGGGGAGAAGTACCCGCCGTGGGTTTACGAATTTGTCCGAGTTGACCATGTCCTTTGTGTCTTCGTGGGCCGTGGCGAGAAAGCATCCCCATCCTCGAACTCCCACCGCGGATGCTACCCCCAAGGGGACGTGGGATTGGCAGTATTCCTATTGTACCGTGGTGGCAGCATCGGTCTTTGTCTATTGGCTGTTTGTGTCTTTGATCCCCGTCTACAACAAATTCTTTTTCCAAAAGAGTTTATACCCTTATCCCATTGCCACGGCGGGAATTCAACTGGGAGTGGTGGCCATTCTATTGGGAATTCTCAATACACTCCAGCACTGCTACAGACAGCACATTGCCCGAACATCCCGTATTCCTTCTACTTCTACTTCCACTAATCATGAAGCTGGAGATGGCAATCCCATGAACCTTCGAACGTATTATCAATCCATTCCAGAACAACCATCCACCGTGGGTATCTCGGTGGACTCTTCGACCACAACTACTTCTGATACTACCATTAATAATGAAGATTCCTGGATTGGAGGACCTCATTTACTATGGAAACTGAAATGGGTGACTCCCATTGGGTTTCTCTTTGGCCTCAAATACGGCGTTACCAATTTGGGATTGCATCTCGTGGCAGCACCCACCCATTTATTACTGCAGGCGACCGATTTGGTGTGGACCGTGCTGAGTGCCTGGCTGATTAATCGAGAACGGCTCAACGCTGTGGAAGTGGGATGTTTGCTCGGATGCATTGCCGGCAGTGCCGTTCTCAGTTGGCATCAATTGCACAACAATAATAGTTATCACGAAAATGAACTCAAAGATGGCAATCACGACGAGTCACTGACATCGCATCCGGGATGGTTTGCCATTATCATCAATCTACTATCCCCCATGTTGTTGGGACTCTGTATTGCCACACTTCGGTTGGCGTGTTGCGAACTCATGAGACCCGATAATCGCGTACGAGGAACTGTATCGGCGGTGGAATTGACCACGCTCAAACTCGTTATTTCCGCCTCGGTCGCATTGTTGTTGGCGTGTGTCTTGGAAGGAGGTGATATGGATGCTAATGCGGACCAAACAACCCAACTTTATCATCATGCACCACGAGTGTCGTGGTCGGATGCCTTTGGAGAATTGCCTCTCTCGACCAAACTCGGTGTCATGGGAGGAGCTATTCTCATTGCCGTTTTTCAAGTCAATTGTACCGCATTGACCTATTTGACATCGGCCGTGTCGGTGGGGTTGGTGGGACAAGTCAAGATTATTCCCCAATGGATTGTCGCCACGATTTTTGCCATGACCACGTCCAAGTTCACATTGCAACGAGACAATTTAATTGGAGCCTTTCTCATCATGGCCAGCGCCGCCGCGTTTGCCGGATCCAAATTTTGGGTCGTTGGTGGATCCGACAATGACAAGGATGATCCGAGTGCGTCCGCAAGTACCGCCAGTACGGACGACGACCTGGATCCCGAGACACCCCGCATTGCCGCCAAACACCCACAAGTCACCACCGAGTCGACCCGTTTGCTGTCCGCCCGAGGTAAGAAACAGAACAGCAATAATAGCCTTTTGTGGACAGATGCCGACGAATGGGCGACCGCATCATTGCGAGCCGAATTTGATGCCATGCAAAATAAATGATCGATAATGGCAGCCACAAAGTTCTTATCGACAGCATTCTCTTCCACCACAGCAGCAGCAGCCACACCAAGAGCAATCTTAATCGACTTGTCCCGCACAAAAAATAATGACCCACATCACCAACCCTGGATGGATGCAGCCGAATAGCCATTTTGGTTTGCTGGCTGGGGGTGGCGACGGCCGAAAGGGCTCGAGTACAGTAAGTATGGAAGTGGCCTGGAGATGGTAACGCCGAAAGGGTTGTGGTGTTGGGGGTTCGCGTGAAAGAATGCATGGACGCCTACGTAGCGGCTGCAGGGGGGCTTTGCCAGAAGCAAGTGAGATTGCCAGGGGCCAATACCAGTAGAGGATAGGGGCGGCCATTGGATTCCTTACTTGCTCAAAAAGTACCGGTAGCTTTCAACAAACACAGTGCTCGGTTTCATTTCTTTTTATCTGCTATAGCTAGTAGCCAAGTTCAAAGCACAAAACTGGCGGCAACAAAGGGAGGAGGAGGATGTAACAAAGGTTCACGCTTCACAGCTAGACCAAAGAGGAAAAACAGTCTCAAGCGGAAACCCATCTGACAGACTTCTAATAGAAAGTAAGAACATCGACGGCACTCTGAAAAAAGATTGAGGATCCCATCCCACCAATCTTCAAATGTGATAGAATCATTCAAAAAGGTGCCCCACAACTCCATCGTTCTTGAAGTAGCGCACATACGAAGGACTGACACGCTCATTCACTATCTCCACAAGCCTTGGCACAAGAGGTTTCAGAGTTTTCAGAGCAATTTCACTCTGCAGGTAGTGATGAAGGATATCATGCTCGATCAACAGCTCTTGCTGTTTAGCTGTCATGGATTTTGGCAAAAATGTTCCCAGACTCTTCATGAGTGAATCTCGGCATTTCTCATTCCCTTTGACAAGAAGAACCATTCGCCTCAGAGAATCTTCACTGAAAGTGTTGGGCGATTTGGTTAGGAGCATGTGCAACAGTTCAAAACAGTTTTCCTGCGAATGAATCAATCCATACTGCACACTTGTCTCCAGTGCCTCTACTACATGTATTGCAGCTGCCACATCTTCAGTTTGCTCGGCAGCCAATGGTTCCAAAACATTGGAAATAACTCTGTCACATTCCTCCAATCCTGCTCTGCTGCAGAGCTCATCAAACCATGAAAGGGCAATTAGAAGCTTGTCTTTTGTAATCTTCACTGTTGAAAGTGGAGCCATCAAGGATACAATCCATTCCCATTCTTTGGGATCACGGTGAGGGAACTCAAAGTGCTTGGTGGCAGACTCCTTCATGCCAATGTCAAGGGCCGTGTCGAAATACTGGCTCCAACAGCGGAGACTTGGACCATACTCCTTGAACACCACACCACCAACCACAATGGTCACATCAGGTTCGGCCTTGTTCCTAATGCACGTTTGTTTTGGTTCTGGTGGTGGAGGGGTAATCTTCTTGCCTCGGACTGTGTATCGTTTAAGTGACATATCTTTGACGTTTGCAACGAGATGCAGTACTGGTAGGAACGGGATCAACTGCAAATTTATGAAGCCAGGAAAGGGAGTGATCTTTCAACACAGCGTGGATGCCGCAATATTTAAGATGCTGTAAAGGTAAGGTGGTCGAAATCCGTGTGCCATTGTATCATTCCCACGGTGAGATGCATTGATTGGCAGCTACACATCCACATGGAGTATGAAAGGGGGCGTTAACACGATGGTATCAGTGCACATACTCCGTCGCAGGCGGCTAGCGGTGCCTGCTCAGCGTGGAAGCAGCTGAGGAGTGGCACTGTACCGGCACACCATTACTGGACCTCTGTGGAAACGTCATTGGTGGAAAAGTACTTAGGAGACGATGCACCGAGGCTTAGGAGACGATCGAAATGATTTAAGAGACGAAAGCAATCGTCTCCTTTATTTAGGAGACGATTCATTAGGAGACATTCCATTTAGGAGACAATCGTTTCGAAGTAGGAGACGATCCGAAAGATTTAGGAGACGATACCATACAGTTTACATTGTGCACTTAGGAGACGATCCGTTGAGAATAGGAGACGATCCGTTGAAAATAGGAGACGATTTAAGAGGAGACGAAAGATTTAAGAGACGATCCGTTTCGTCTCCTATTTTTAGGAGACGAAATCCATTAAATAGGAGACGATCAAAAGGATTTAGGAGACGAAAAGTAGCACGACTCCAGTTTCCACAGAGGTCCTGTACCGGTAGCGAAGGTGTGGACCGGAAACGTGGAATCCAGCGTGCCAGTATGCAAGACAGGAGTACCGTAAGCTCATGAAACTGATGAGATCAACTTGAAAGCGTTCTCATTCTTCCGCCTTTTCTCCCCTCTTTGGAATAGCTATTAATTAAATTAGCTAACTGGACTAGCCAGATCCCTGGACCTCTGTGGAAACGTCATTGGTGACAAAATACTTAGGAGACGATACACCGAGGAATAGGAGACGATCGAAATGATTTAAGAGACGAAAGCAATCGTCTCCTATATTTAGGAGACGATTCAGTAGGAGACATTCCAATTAGGAGACGATCGTTTCGAAATAGGAGACGATCGGAAAGATTTAGGAGACGATACCATACAGTTTACATGGTACACTTAGGAGACGATCCGTTGAGAGTAGGAGACGATCCGTTGAAAATAGGAGACGTTTTAAGAGGAGACAAAAGATTTAGGAGACGATCCGTTTCGTCTCCTATTTTTAGGAGACGAAATCCATTAAATAGGAGACGATCAAAAGGATTTAGGAGACGAAAAGTAGCACGACTCCAGTTTCCACAGAGGTCCTGTGCCAGTAACTGCTTCACCGACTGCAACACTACTCAAGTGTCACTGGAGTCGAACTAGATCTTATCACGATTCCGTTTTATAGTCTTAGTTAGCTAAGTTAGAACAGGAACATCAGTCTTCTTCAACGATGGACGCTGTTTCGACGAGCAATCTCCATGCAAAGGACTTCGTGCAACAAGCCATTGTCTAAAAGAACCGTGCGTTTCTCGGGGGAAATGGACTCTGGCAAAAGCCGAAACAGTGCCGGCAACAGCACCTCGTGACAATCCTCGTCCTCCTGAATGAGGGATAGGATGCGCTGGATGTTTGCCTTGTTCATGCCTTGGGGTGATGGTGCAATCAGCGTGGATGTGATCATGTGCAAGCACGTGACCTTGGAATGGACCAGATCGTACTGATTGCTGGTTAGAAGCGATGCAATGATGGAAGAAATGGTTTCGTTGGCATCAGCCCCAAATTCCAGGTGAGGTGGCAGTGGTAGGCTCTGGCACAACGCTTGATCGCATTTCTCGAGTCCCATGGGGCTGCAGAGTTCCACAAACCAGGAGAGAGCCATATGCAGCTTCTCTTTGGGGATCCGTTTCGGATGATGAGACGTGGGTACCATGAATGATACAATCCATTCCCAGTCATTTGGGTCTCTGTCGGGAAAATGAAAGCATGTAGTGTGGGTCTCCTCCAGTACTCGATCAAAGTAGTTACTCCAAGATCGAAGACTTGGACTGTACTCTTGAAATTCAACACCACCCACCACAATAGTGATATCGGGCTCATTGTTTTGAAGGCAGAGTTGCTTCACTGCTTGCTGTTGGGTTCCCTCAGACTGTTGTTGATTGTCCTGGCTGCCGGTTTCCTTCTTCGCTGATGGCTGTGAGTTTTTCGTTGCACTGGTCGTCTTCTCTGGTAGGCTCGTCTCTTTTTTGTTGCTGTTGTTGGCGTGGTGCTGGATGAGATAGAGAAGCATCATCACGACGACAAGAGAAGCACAGATGAGAAGATGCCCAAGCGCAATGGGCTGGAAGAAAGTGAATGGAAGGAACCGCATGACGCTGTTGCAGTGTACAATGGATCGTCGGATAGTCTGGATCTGCCTTTTTTTGAGCAGAAAGAACCAAGTCAAAGTGCAAGCGAAAAGAGTTCGTCGACTTGTATGAAAGGACAACGGCAGTGGAAACGAAACCGAAACGGTCCCATTGGGTTGGTTTCGACGGACGGAAAGAGGTTTCATCGGAAATATGCAAAGCAACCGGACGGTTTCAGCGTGGAAACACAAGAAAAGCGTGGAAACATACTGTGTTCCACGTGGAGATACATTTTCTGTGACTGCCTCACCCATGACTCAAACTTCAACCTCGCATCCCAAGATCACACACTCTTGAGCTTCCATTTCCAGAAACAAAGATAGAAGACAACAAGATGATGAGTAGTAGTCGGCTGATAGTATCGTGCTTGTCCTTCCTGGCGGTTTTGGATGGTAGAGCAGCCAATGCGTTTCGGGGGCCTGGTTTGGCAAGCGTACATGATGTATCGAGACGACAATCATCTACAGCAATGAGCATGTCGATTCTGGACGACATCAAAGCCAAGAGCGACAATAACGAGTTGGGCGATGACAAGAAATTCAATCCCTTTGATTACAGCAAGGACCGCAGCATTTCCACAGTCAACTATTCCGGAACCCAGATTTCTCTACGAAAAACCACCATGACCGAACTTTTGAATGAACTGCTGAATGTGGCGACTGCACGGGAGGAAGTGCAAACCGTGTTGGAGAGCTACAAGGACTTTTTGCTAGAGCCACTCGAAGATACGGATGCGGTATTGGATCCCGATTCCATCTACACCGCTTCCATGACACGCGAGCAACGGTATCAGGCCTACCGGGAATCCATGGAAGAACGAGTCGAAAAGGCCCGAAATGAAAGTGTCAAAACGGTCCTAAAGGCCATGAAGGACTATGTATTGAGCTTTGAATAAAAACAAGCTGCACTTTTCACGCTCTCAAAACATATCCTGGCTGTGTCAATTCCAATGAATGATATCCTACCTGGCTAGCTAGGAAGCTGGCCAACAGCTAAGGGCCCATCGTTATCCTGGCAGCTAGCTAGATTCATCCGTGTGGTACCGTACGAGGAGCCCCTCAAGGTATCCTGATGTCGTCTACCAAAGGGTGCTACTAGTACCTTGATGTACATACATATTTCTAAACTACAATTTCACGATCGAAGTATTCCTTACTTTGCCAATCTTATTTGGGTTGCCTATACGTCGTCATAAGATGTTCGTCTTTCCGTAGCCGATGAATGGCGGCACCAAAAGTTGGATGCTACCGCCCTCCATGATGTTTCGTGGGCAATCCATGGCTGTGCAGGTTGTCGTGTAGAATGGTCTCCAGAAGCAACTCATAGCAGGCCCCGCTGCAAACTAACATGCACACATAGCCACCACTCATCGATCGTCAGAACAATCCAGAATTCCATTACTCCTCCATCCTAAACAAAGGCAGTGAGAGATTGTCGTCTGTCTAGTTAGAGATGTGTCGCTTGTGCCATCAACGCACAATAATGACGTTCCAGTGTCGCATCTTCACTACTCTCAGGACCATCGTCATCGTCATCATCATCAACTACAAGTAATAACAGTTTGTCCAGAGGATTCCCCTGAAGTTTCAGCCTCACTTCGGCCGCCGCGAGACACCGAAGTTCACCATCCGTCAATCGTTCGGCTCCCCAATTCTCGTCTCTCAGGTAGGCGGCGATTCCTTCGGTTTGGCAACTGTGTACGCGGCAAACAAAGGAGAGGGCATGTTTGGTGGCCGTGTGCTGATCCAACAGAGTTGCGAGACGATTGGCTCGTTCCAATTGCCGCAATCGATCCAGAAAGTGATTGGCCGCTCGCACAACCGGCAACTGGCGCTTTTCAAAGTCATCCCTCCATTGAATCAAACCAAAAATTTGAGAAATCGATGTTCTGTCGCAATAATTGGTGTCCAGAAACTGTGCCACCAGACAATCGACGTCGTCGTCGTGGGATGAGCATCCCAGGAGCCGGGCCAAGTCGCGTCGCTCTCGTGGTTCGTTCTGGAAAAGATGCAGTAGCCCAATTTGTCCCCGTGCTTTGAGGTGCTCGGCAAACTGAATGCCTTCTCGTTTGAATTCTTCCATGACCACACCGCATCTTTTGACGGCTTGGGCGGCCCGTCGTTCTGCTATTCTCTTTCTCTTTTCCTGTCGACGGCGCTACAAAAAGGGAGAACAGTACCATTGAGTCAGAAGTTGAAATAGAAACACAAACAAGGTGCTGATGTTGTATTATACAAGAGCACAATCACACTGCACAAAAACTAACCCTTCGTTCCTTTCGAGCACTGTGACCCCTCTCCGACCTAGAGTACTCAATTTCCCAATCCAAGCCATCAAACTGAACCGTGGGCATGTTGTTGTAATCGATCCCTCGTCGTTGTCTCTCGCTCTTTTTTGTTGTTGTGTTGGGAAATGTGATGTGTGCACAGCAGGCCAAACGATGCGAGTTTGTCCGTTCTAGTCTTCCCACCAACTCTCTCACTCACTTACTCACTCCTTTCTTTTCTGCAGAAGCTTCCTGTAAAGTACCGTACAGCTCCTTTAGAAGCTTGTACTACCACCGCACTTTACCATGCCAATGACATCTCTCTTTCCCTCGCTCGATCTCAACCGACAACAACACCTTGTGTGGGGTGCTCTCAGGTTTTTGTGTGAAGGCGATGTGCGCCGTGGAACACGGTTGTTTGACACCGAGGAAGCGAAGACCCTCATTAGCGTTAACCTTTTTTAAAACAAATGACGTGTACATATTTTGAGCGAGAGTTCTGAAAGAGTTCTGAAAGAGCGAATTTTTACTTCTTGTTCTTTGAAAACATCATCATGTGTTGTTGCTTCAGTCGTCATTCCGTTTTGGCGACCATGTTGGTGAAGCAATCGTCCACAATGCCAAATTTAATTTTGTGTGGAGTTGACAGAGAAAGTGAGAAAGATCTAGCTAGAGCAAGGAACAAGGTGGTTTAACTTGAAGGTTCAACCAAAGCAACAAGGGATCAGCTAGTTGTAGCTAACTACGTTTCCAGGAAACTAGAGAGATATTGCATCCAGTGAAGCGTGACCATGAGCACTAGTATGCATGGTAGCAATAGTCCTGAAGCCACCGAAGTGCTGCAAGTCCGCGTGATGGATTGGATCACGGACTCTCCTTCGGAGCAACAAGCTCACATTGAACGAATGCAAGGATTCTCGCAACGAATTCGACACTTGGAAATCCGCTTGACGGGATGGACGCTGAATCAGAATCGACGACTGCACGTGGGCCTCAACACGGTCCCCACCATTCTAGAATCCATCATCATGGCGCCTGATCATCATTGGAAGCAGCATGCCAGAGTGGAAGAATTGACAATTGATCTGGAATGCTTATCGTCGTCGTCGTCTCAATCTCAAACAACAATAATAAAACAAGCATTGCGAACATTTTGCAATCTCATCACGACGCCACACACTACGACTTGTGCGTATGGATGTTGCTCGACGTGCCTGCAAAAGTTGACCATTTTGTGCTCGGGAGAAGAAGATATTTCCAGTCATGCCTTGCGGTATTTGGGAAGATCCTTACGCAATCTGAGCTCTGTCACGACCCTCCGGTTATCGGGTATGAATCCGGACCATTTAGCCATTGTCCTCAACAGTATGAAAGCGGAGCTCCATTCGTGCCTGGAAGACTGTTTGCAAGTAACATGTCACTCTTCATGCTTGGAAGATTGCTTGCAAGTGGCAACATGTCCCTGTGGGTCCAAGAATCAAGATGACGATAATAATGACGACCAAAACAACAATAATCAGCGACCTTGTCCACGGATATTGCCACCGAGTTGCTGCGATCCCTACGAAGCAGTTCCCTATACCATGGAGGAAACGTCCGCCTTCGACGACGAACGCTTTCCCAAACAACTGGAACTGCATCGAATACGACTCTCCCACAAAGCCATTGCCAATCTTGTCTATCTACTGGTGGAGGAAAGTCAATCCTCCATTACCAAGCTGGTCATTCGAGATTGTCTTTCTGCCACGGACGATTTGGGTTTTTTGATCTTTCTCGCCAAGGGACATTCCGTCTTGCAAGAACTCACATTGGACCGACATCGGATTCGGACCTTTTGGGGAGAATCGGCATGGTGGAATCCCTGTACGCGAGTACCCAGTCCTTCGTTACTAATGGGGCGAAGACAACGACTCCATACCATTCGTCTCTTGGACTGTCAGGGGGCACGCTTGGTACTGGAACAAATTTCGGCGTCGTTGGTACCTAATAATGGCAATCCAGGACTGCAACGACTGGTACTGCAGTACTCGTCCATGGAAACCTGTTCCATGACAATTCATGCACTGAATGCGCTCTTTTTGGCCACGGTCATTCGCAACCGTCCATCCACATTGCTCGAACTACAGGTGGTGGCCGCCAGTCCGCATCCCGAATCATCCTATCGATTGCATCAGTTGGCAGCCTTTTTGGGGCATCCACTCTGTTCCCTACAGTCACTGAGTTTGCATTTGGGCGCTAGTCCGTATCATCTGGATACACTGGGGGATCGACTCGGTGACAACAACTGCCTCCAAAGTTTGACACTGTCGGGAGATGATCCACTCGATAGGACCATGCTGGAGTGCTTCGTGTCCATGTTGGACAGTGCACCCAAGCTTACATCTTTAGAGTTGGACTTTTGTGAAATGGATAATCGAGATGACGAGGTACTGCAACTCTTTGAGGAGAATACTACTTTGGAAGAGATTCGAGTCCAAGGGGATAGCATCCGACACAGCAATTCACTGGCATTTATGGGACTCCGCAATCGAATTCGCAAGAACATGCTGGTGAGGCGGCCAGAAGCCGATCATTTGTGGAACGATATTCTGGGCATTCTGCTGGATTGGGAACAGCGACAAGAAGAAGAAAGTTTTGGTGGTGCGGACAGCAAGCGACGGTTGACGTCGAGAAATCGCGGCTTGGTCTTTGCGTCGGGGGTGTGGTTTGCACTGACGGAATGTCCCGTGCTGGTGGAGGACATTGCAAAGAAGGGTCTCTGAAGTGGCGTTCTACCGTAGTACTGCTGAAGGTCCTCCTCCTCCACCATGCCCGTGGGTGTTCATTTGCACCTACACGCATACTCTTGTTTTTCATTGGAGTGTTCATGTGGTGTGAAAAGTTTCTGGCTTGTTCGCCAGGATGTGTATATTATTGTTGACAAGGCTGTGTTGAACGGCCAAGTTCAAGCTCATCATGTAATGTTATCATAATGAAGGAAGCTGTGTTGTATAATGAAATCATGTATTTATAGTTGTGCAAGTTATGCAATGCTTGGCAAAGCTTCTAAGGGTGGCTTCCGGTGGTAGCTAGCTCAGATGAGGTTACGAGCAGCAATCAGCTCGACGAATTCATCGGAAAGCGCCATGATTCGCTTCAAACGAGCAATGCTGGAATCGGCTTCGAATCGAATAGATGCTTGTCGGGCAACTCGTCGTTGCTCCCAATCCGACGCGGCCTCTTCCCTTGCCCGAATGCGTTGTTCCCGGTTGATGAGGTACGCGGCGTATCGTTCTTTGGTCTTGCGCTCCAGGGTAATGGGTGTTTCGGGTACCGCTGGTGGCGGGCTGGAAGCTTGGAGTGAGAGGCTGACTACTCGAGGAATGGGACGCGGGGAGGAGGCTGCTGGATCGTTACCAGTAGCCGTGCTGCCAGGCTGAGTCGAAGACTCTGTTTGGACAGTATCGTCGTCTTTGGGGATGACCACTGGCTTTCTTGAAGTTTGGATCATCTTGGGAGCCGGGATTTCCTTGTCTTGTTGTGCCTTGGTGGCGGCCACGGCGTCCCTCTTTCCCCTTTGTGTGGCTGCGCGGCGAGCCTTGGCGGTAACATCGCGACACAAGGCAGCGACCCGTTCGTGGTCAAAGGGGATATGGAGATAATTTGCTCGCCTGACAAGGGGATACGGACTGTGCTGAAACTCTGTGCCGTCGATACCCTTTTGGCGGTCTTGCTCGTCAAGAACTTTATTGACACAATCCCGATGATTCACAAAACGTTCCCAGGCGCCTTGGTCGGTCATGGTCTCCAAGCCACGCACAGTCTCGTCGAGGGGGCATGGGTTCTTGTTGCTGGAGGAGCAGATGGACGCAATCGTTTCATTGTCCATTCGAATCTCTCGCAACTCTGCTGGAGAGTACCAGATATCTTCTCTTGGAACTCCATCGTAAGGATTGGACAAGTCCTGGGATGTTTCCTCTACCGGGCTCCAGGTCACCCGCTTGACCTCGCTGTCATCTTCATAGATCGATTTTCGTTCTGCGACCTTGCTAGAAGTGCGCCTCAAACTGTTGTTCTGGTTGTATCGAATTTGAACTTGCACCATCTTTTATGTATGCTTTCTTTGTTTTGTTGGTTATGTTTTGCTTTCTTGTTCTGGATGGTTGATTTTATGAGCCTGTTCTGGTGTTCAGGTGCTGTGGGATCGGAACAGTCTTGCGGTTCCTGGGCTGAGCGCTATTGAAACAATCTTGGTTGCATGAGTAGCATGATTGACTTGTGGCCATTGACTCACATTCCTTCAGGTTCCAACCGCGAATGGACGTTGTTGCTCTGCAGGATAGTTGTAGGATTTATACCCACGCGCCGAGAATCTCAACAGCTATGAATACTAGGTATTTGACCTGTAAATGAGCTGTAAATGTTACCTTGCTCTTCATCTCCTCTCCTATGTGACAACTATGTGACTGATGGGATTCCACGAATGAATGGTGGTGAGAATTATCAATTCAGTTCAAGTATGATGGTTACTGTACAAAAGCATCGATGGAACTTTTGATGGGTCTTTGTGTGGTACCGTAAGGACAGACACGGGTTACTGGAACGGCTACAAAAACCTGGAGTGGTACCGGTAACATGAACCAGTTATTACTTAGTTTTGATCCAGTTCAGCTCAATTAGCAAGCTCGAGAGTGCCAGATAGCTAGCTGGGGAGCTCTTACCACCAGCAACCCACAGGTCCTTCAAAACGAGCTGCGCCTTGTCTGCATACGCAGCTACAGGTTGTCTTCCCCGAGCGAGTGCATGCTCCAGTGGCGCTACGTATTGTTTGCTGGGTATAGCTACTATGGTCGCTCGATCTAGTATCGGCCATTCGGCAACTAACTACCAAGCACTTGCAAGTTTCATCTATGTATCGAATTCTCTGCTACCTGGCCATGTCTAGCAGTGATGCAAAAGGGTGCCTAATGTTTCTCCTTGTTGACTATTCAAACGTCTTGCTTGTCTTGTAAATGTTGACTCGTAAGCAACAAAAGTTTAACATCGAGCCGCCCAGGAAACTAGTTCCAACAAGGGAACCTGGTCTGCCTGTTGTGCCACTTCTTGCTTGCTCTGGCTGCCAAGAGGTTCGCTCGAGCGATCAAGCCCACAGTTGCAATGGTACGATGTTGCTTGCCCTCTTCATTTCTCGCTCGTTCGCTGCTACTATTTTGCCAGGTTAATAGTACTCCAAAAGATTGACGGACAGGACCTTTACGTTTCAACAAGAAAACAGAACCAGGAGGTTGGCAACTCGGCAACAAGATCACAGTGGCTGGTTTCATCCACTGTTCCTTCCGAGAGCAACCAAGAAAGTAGAGCTATTCTTGGCTGGAGGTTCCACTACCAGCCACAACTAGCTACTGCACTAACCGGTTGCTGAAAACAAGAAGCCTTTGCGAGTTGGCTGCAAGAAGAACAAAACTCGGCATGAACCGGGGAAGTAAATGATTCAATGATTCAGTGGCTTCGGGCTGACAGTGCATACGTGTACAGTTGCTGTGTTGGCTGGATCTTCTCAAGTAGCTACATGTGGGTAGCGTTGACGGTGGCGAACTCTCTTTCAGCCTGAAGAGGCGCAACAAGCAAACAAAGAAGTTCACGTAGGGACGAGCTTGAGTAGAGTTTCCGAGGCCGGATAGCCAAGGCAGCGACTGGCCAGCCAGCTAGCTAGGGTGGACAAGCGCGCGGGGAAACAAGTAGCCCACAAGAGCTTCGCCAGCTTTTTGCACTTACAGCGTAGTTAGCTAGCTAGAACGTCCTTCAAAAGATGATGTAGACTCTACATGTACATTGTAGCTAGACGATGATGTTGCAAGCAAGAAGAACTGGCTGCTGCAGTCCAGACCTGGGCAATGGGGATATAGGAATGCTATTAAGTTCTGGCTGACAAGTAGTATAAAGGACTCGTTTACTAGTTCCAAATCTATCGCTCGAGCAACCTTTCCGCGAATGAATACTAGCAGCCACAATGCCATTTGCAAGCAAGGCATGCATGGCAGCAATGCGGCTGCCTACCTGTGCATTTGACCGAAAAGAACCCCGTTGAGCGACGACGTTACCGTACTAGCAGCCCGTAGCCAGGAACGGTGCTACCGGTAGCTAAAACTAGGTAGCCGGGCACTTGAAAAGAGCTTTTTGCTAAGGCTCAGTTTCAACTACTTTTTGAGAATTGTTGAATCGGACATTTGGAGGCCATTTCCATGAGGCCCTAATCGAGATCACCCAAGACCACTTTCAACTAGTCAGTTGCCAATTCGGAAAATGTGACTCCCACCAAGGGCCACGTGGCAATGGAAAACCAAAAACCAATGATACCCAATGCGAAATCCAATGCCAACGGGGAATGCAAGGTTGATTGTGTCATGTTTGTCTGCCATAGAATTCGGTAACCAAGTAGACAAAAGTGAGACAATGTTCATTTGTTGCCTTATCCTCGTGGTGTCTTTGGTGTTACCTTTTGTATCAAGTGTAAAGGACCATCCTCTTGAGGAGTTGTGCAATTTCGCTCAGGCCTCTGTGTCGTTGTTGTCTGCCGCCGATCCTGGTCTGTTAGAACACATTGGCGACACTCGAGGAGGAGGAGGCCACACCAGAACAGGAAGAGGAAGTATGTTAATGACATCTTCAACGAGCTTGGACCTCATTACGTCAGACGAGCTTACCGGATGGAACAGTTCTTTTTGGAAGTTGTTCGTTGCTGAAGCCGTTCCTTGAACCTTCGAAGAAGAGGAAGTCATGGAAGAGTGGTGCCAAGAACGGCCTCATCCCATTGCCGAGCAAAGTCAGTTCAGCAATTAGGTATTTTGCTGGTGGAGCTGCGTATGACATTGCTGTCGTTCATGGAATAGGCCATACGGACGTGTACCGCAGTATCTGGAAGGTTGTGGACGCCGTCAACAAATGCCCGCAGCTTGATTTTTCTTATCCAACTGATCATAAAGAACAGCAGAAGATTGCAGATGGATTTAAGAAAACCAGTCGGGGTGTGTTTGAGTGTTGCGGTGGAGCAGTGGACGGCATCTTGATCTGGACAGAAAGGCCAAGGAGAAAGTGTGAGGATGCAGATGGGACCAAGAAATTCTTCTGTGGTCGCAAGAAGAAGTTCGGGTTGAACATGCAGGGGACCTGTGACGCTCACCGTAGATTCCTTGATATTTATGTGAAGCATCCTGGCTCGACGTCTGACTATCTTGCTTGGACATCATCTCCCCTTTACCACAGCATCGAGCGAGAAGGATTCATGAAAAAAGGAATTTGTCTCTTCGGAGATAATGCATACGTCAATACACCCACATGGCAACTCCATACAAGGCTGTGGATCGGCAAAGGACTCTACAACTACTTCCACTCCAACGTGCGCATCACCATCGAGTGTGCTTTTGGAATGCTGGTCCGACGCTGGGGAATCTTGATGCGTGCCTTCCCGACAGCTCTTTCCATCGCCAAAGTGACAGCCATCGTGCGCTGCCTTTGCCGCCTGCACAACTTCTGCATCAATGAGCGATTGGAGAGGATGGCAACAAATTCGCAAGTGGATTCTCCTTCTGAAGAGTGCACTGAGGAAGTGGCCGAACGTCTTGCAAGTGATGAGATGAACATCGTTGTGGGCGAGGGAGGAATGCGCATGGAGAGCAACAGCGATGAATACCGACCGGTGGGATTACTCGACGGAGGCCACCATTTTGATGACGTTTCTTACTGGTCTAGGGCTTATCGAAAGAAGAAGAATGGAGAAACTTTACCCAGAGAGCTATGCACGAAACGATCCAACGCCAGGGCCTGCAGCGACCAACACCCAAACACTGGATTGGAGATACTCCTGCTCGCTCTTATCAAACTTAGTTGCTATAGATAATCATTACTTAGCACATGAGCCCAGACATATCTTCCATGATGATTGCATTGACCAGGCTCGTGCAAGAAAGCGCTTCGGTCCTGCAGGAACGTGCAGGAACGTTTGTCAACGCATCGCCAAATTAGAGAGAGGACCAACTGTTTGCGACCGACTCTTTTTGACAGAGATGGACGAAGCGAGGAACTTGGTTGGTGCATCCTAAGTCTACTATTCTAATCTCTAAGTCCAGCACATTTGTCAAACGTTTCAAACTATCTCTTTATATCACCGGAGGCAACAAGAACTCCTTACCGAATACTCACATCGTTGCCACCACCGCACTACAATCGCTTTCTTTGTAAAGCAAGAACAAGCAAACAACCAACCACCATGGCGCTCCTCAATAGCCAACTGAAGTTGCCCTCGATCCTGCCACAATATCATCACATCACCACCACCATCATCATCACCATCATCATCGTCATCACTGTCATCACTGTCCAACATCTGGGCGACAACATTCACTTGAAAAGGAACTGCTCGCTTGGTCTTCTTCTTCTCTTTTTTGGCTCCAACGCATCTTCGCAATCCAAGGTATCAAGGCATTCCTGGATGGCTGTGCAGTTGGCTTCAAGCATACGGATGCGTCCCATGTACAACTCGCTCAAGGTGGTGCTCTTTGTTTTCATCACTTTGAGCTGGGACTCGAAAAGTTTCTCTTGTGTCTCGCGGAGTTCCTTCCAGATAGCCGCACGCGACATGGTGTGCATGGCAAGGCTCATCTTTGCACGGAAGAAACCAAGGGCTCTTTCATCCACCTTCCTCTTTCGAGCGCTGGCATTATCCGACGGAGCGACCGAGGAACAGGCCACTGTACTGGCAGCACAAGATTCAGAGATAACCGACATTACATTCTTCAGAATCTCTTGGTCATCGGAAACATGCCACAAGTACAGAATGTGCTCCTTGGTTTGGGAGTCTAGGAAATTTGCCCTGTTGTCACCGCACTGCAACAAATCTTCTCCAAGATGACCGAACTCCTCATCTTCCTGAACACGCTGGCCAAATCCATTTCCACTGAGTTCCCATTTCGCGATGATCTTGATTAACTTGGCACGACAGTCACCCCAGCGGCGCTTCACCTCATCAGGAGTTATGGCCCCCGGCATATGTTCGAAAGAACAATCCAAGACTTCAGCAAATGAAAAGTGAAGATCAGGTAAGCAGCGAGAGAACACCTCATGCTCATTGTCATTGAATAAACGGGCAACTGATTCATATACCGTTTCGGGCCTGTCTTCTGAATTGCGAGCATCTAACTCCTCTCTGTCACCCAGCCTGTGCATCTCAAGGAACTTTTCACGGATGGATCGTCAACATACCTCAATCATACGTTGGCTTGTTGCTCGGTGAAGCCTTTCCTTCTTTTCCTTCTTATCACTCTTCTTCACTCTTCTCCTTTTGTGCCTCGCAGCAGTGGGCCCTCATCAGAAGATCGAAGAGTTTCAGCTCTTCTTTCATGACAAAGGCACGATCGTTATGGTTCTGGAGTGGATGGGCCTGCAGCCACCCAAGACACTTCTTCCTTTCCCAGTTGCCACACTTCGGTCCAGGAACAATGCCCTCTAGGATGCAGCGGCGGCGGATCTCCTCACAGAAATGCTTCTGCGTTGGAACACCTTCTTCTTCAATTTCATGGAGCAGTAGGGCTCCACTTCCACGTTGCCAGCTTCACGTAGGTCAAATGTCTTCAGACCAATACACATTGCCAAGAGATCGGCAGCCTTTTCACCACCGCATTTGTAATACCTTTCTGTAGGCCCAACAACACCTTGGTCTGGATGCACTGCTCCGAGTTCGTGGTAAGGAATGGAGGTCAAAGGACGCTCGTTAGTTGTTTCTTCACTCATGGTTCCTCTATTATTTCTTGTTTCGTCTCTTCAAATCCAGGAATTATGATGCAAGTCTGTTAACTCGACAGAAAGCAATGACAATGACAATGCGACTGCTTACCGAACCTACACACAAGCCTGGTTGGCTTCATGCCGAACCGGTAGGGGTAAGTAGCCTTCTTGGTACGGGCCATTGGTGCTATTACGTTGGTTGTATGAGATTATATGCTACTCACATTGTCATTGTTGACTTCTAAATTTGTTGGTTTCTTTCCAAGCTGCGACAAAGAAAGCAGATTGATGATGATTCTTCCAGAATGTTCCCCAACATGACTTGGCTGGTGTCTGGGTGGGCCAATCAAAATGGTCGGGGGAAGCCAAACCTGAATTCACCTTTGCGCAGACGGAGGCCGTTGGAGTTTGCCCAAACCTGAATTCAGGTTGGCTGCAAAGGCCTCTTTGGGAGACATTCTGACATCCTCATCTTCAACAAGGCCCGATTCTCCGATTTGACCCTCATTTTGGAGTAGTTGAAACTGAGCCTAAGGGACATCAAGATAGCAGGTCAGTAGATGATGATGCCAACAATCAAACCAGATCAGAACGAGATCGCACCAACGTCCAATCAGGAAGCTTGTTCTTCCCTCTGTCTGCTGGATACCCTAGTCCATGCTTTGCTACTGGCCTTCACAGCGATCCTCGATCTCTTCGTCACCAAAAACTCCCAACTTCATCCCGGATGAACGAGAGGAACTCTGAAACGTCCTTCTCCCATGAGGGTTTTGAATACTAAAGCCGCCTTTGACAGAAGAGATGCACAAGGAGAAAGGCAGGAGGAACGAGCATTTTTTTTTGCGGAAGCACATTTTGATGTGATGCATCCCTGTACCGGTAGGGTACCGTACAGTACGACCGCTGCAGGCGCTGGTTGGAGCTTGGTTGACCAATGAGAGGGGGGCAACTTCTCGTTTCGTTGCACTTTGACACCAAAGTTCCTTAGAGGAGATACTCCTCTAGCTGTTGCATTCATGAGGAGCTAATAATTTCACTTAACAGTTCAAGATTTCGTGAACGGTGCTGCCTTCTCGATATCGTAATTGAGAGCGACAATGTACGGTATAGCGATCCGGCGATCCCATTTATTATTAAGCGTCATTGGTCATTGGTCACCCCTACGCGCTAAATAATGCTGATGTCAGAGAGCCTGGACAGTGTCTGGCTTAGTCTGATTGAATTGGATCTCCTCGTCATTGGAACAGCTTCAGTTTTCTGTTTGGAAAGGCTGCAACTTCCGTTAGGCATAAATAGAAATCGCATGCGTCAGAAGAGACGAGATATAAAGGATTGACTAAGTTGACCGGTATGGGTTCATGCAATGGTGAATTTTCGAATTTTGATTGGGCAATGCCACTGAAGTTTTGAAGTTTTGCCCCACGTCAGTGTATTCTGGATCATGCTCCTTAAAGACAAAATAGTTAACTGCCAGAGAACAGAAACAAGCTGATCCTTGTCAGCCTTGGGGGCAAAGACACGGCGGAACTATAATTGAACCGCGTCACACAATGTCATTGTAATTTGTCCGCAAAGAAACTCTTGGCAGTTCAGGCTGAGTCCAAAAAAATGATTGGCCACTGATGGAGGTCAGTGCATCCTTTGGCTCTGGCAACCTTTCTACTTCAGTAGCCACATGTAGGCAGGTACCGGCACGGAAGCTAGCTAGCTAGCTAGGTAGCGCCACAATTCAATAATTCCCAACAACTGAGCTTTCGCTTGGCGAGGAACTGGCTAACGAGTGGCGAAAGCTCCCAACTGCAAGAGTTGCACTTCTTGAAAAAATTAGTATTGGAGGAACTGAAAGACACAAAGCTACCCAACGGCAAGTTATCTTATCCCGACAAGAAAGAACAAAAGATCAAGACGATGATGAGTTCAGAAGCAACACCTCCCCAGTCTACTCCCACGGCAACCCTTCCTCCCCTGATCCCAGATGTGGGCACTGTTCACGCCGATGCCAGGACGACGATGTCCACTACGGACATTCCTCTTGCTGGCGTGGAGCTACCCTTCTTGGTGGATCTCCCTGATGAACTCCCCGTTCGACAGAATGGTCTTCCCACGCTTGGCTCTCGGCTTCAGCCTCGCACTAACATCTCCACTGCCAGGCGACGCCCCCGCGATGCGGCTCAAGAGCTACTGGATTCGCTAGAGGAGGATACCCTGTCGGCAAACCCCCTGATCCTCCCTCTTCTCCTCCCTCCTCCCATGTCTCCTTCCAGCAGCAGGCCAGAGGAAACTCCCCGGTTCCGTCTTCAAAAAAGACGTCAAGATCAGGAGGACCGCTCCGGCTTGACTCCTCCCGTCATGGCGGTCACCGACGTCCTTGGCAGCATCCTCTTTGCCGAGGCTGCGGAGGCTACCAGACGATCTCTTCATCAGAGAGCTCCTATTGCAAGTACCACCACTGACCACCAGCAACCGCCTACATTTATCATCCCTCCTTCCATCTACCTCCCCAACGTCCTTTGAACACATCAGCCATACTATGTACGTAAGTAGCTGGCTTTTTACTACAGGGGAAGTAACACTTCAGCTAAGCTAAGCTATGCTAGCTAACAAGCAAGTGCGCTCGGGAAGAAAGAAGCGCAAAGAAGCCACTGGCAATCTCTTAACCAAATGCCCCTTCACATATGTCATATTCATTCACTTCATCATACCTTACCTACCTAACATTACCCAATACCATTAGCCTCCAATAATAACAAGATAACAAGTAGTAAACAACACTCCATCCTGACTAGTACTGTAGCATTTAGCTATCTGTCTTTCCAATGGAAAAATTCCTCAAAAGACAAGTCCATCCATCACAAGGAGGAAGAACCGAAGTCAACCAGGATTTCACTGTTTCACGGCGCTAGCGTTTTTCCCACATCTTCGCACAACTATTTTTTCAATTAGCTAGCCACAGCCAATACAGAGGGATGCGAACGATCTTCTCTGTCGCTCAGCCACTCCTGTCCTGTGCCTTCCTTTCCAATTCAACATCATCTTGCTAGCTAATTAGCTAGCTGCTTTTAGCCAGGACACAGGGCAGAGGGTAGCTTTCGCCTGTAATAGCTAGCTAGCAGTAAAATGTGGCCCTCCCAAGACAGAACGCCATGGTCATGTGGACTTCTTGCCGTCAGTCCACAAAACCAGAAGCTGATCTCGAGAGCCACGGTACCGGTACGTCGAGATAAGCTAAATGACAAGGCTAAAATTAAACAATGACATCACCTCCTCACTTCCCCACAGATTTTGCTCAGAATGCCATGCTTCTGGTTTTGCTATGACGACCCCGAAGGGACAAAATGATAAAAGGGTTTCAGATTGGTATGCCATAGGGAAGTAATCTGTTGCATCGTTCCTTGGCTCCCCACTCGGTCAGTCTATTAGGAGAGCTATTGGGAGATATATATTATAATAAGAGTCCCGCAACGGCCCAATTTGATACGAGAATCGAGGGGGGAAGAAGAAGCTAGCTGTCTATCCTTGGAGCAGAGAGGTGCAGCCATGATGAGCAGCCATGATCAACATGAACCGTGGCCCGTGGCGGTTCGTTCAAGATGACGAACATCGCAGCGTTGCAGCCAACGTTGTAAAGGGTCAATACAACTCTCCTAAGCTCTCTCTTCTCGGTTTTACTAGCGGTTTTACTTTTGCACACTCATTCTCATTATTAGTTTGCCAGCCACACTCCTCAATCCTACGTCTGACATCAGCCACATACTCAGTACAACTAACTTTGTCTTACTTGGATTGGTATTGCTATTGGTACCTGCCTTGGCAGATCCAGGTGGATTGGTGGCGAGCTCTTGCTTCGTTAGCTTCCTTGCAGGAGTCCCGCAACTGCCAACGCGTCGCTCCGAGCTAGACCTATCGTAGCATACGGAGATTTCACCTCCACAAATAAATGATATCTTTCCCTGCCCTCATCCTCTGTCTGGAGCCCTTCCCTGCCCCTAAAGTTCCCTCTAACCCATGGAACGACCTCTTTTACACCACAAATGATATCTTTGTCGGGAACATGAGAGGTACTCTCCAATAGCTAATTCGGAATCCGAGCCCTCCGAAGGCGTTGTCTGTCTACAAAACTCGAGCTAGCTGGCTGCAGCCAGCAGCAAGCATCCGAAAGATAGACACTACTAGCTGGCTGGCTGGCTGGATGGCTGATACCATCTTTCCAATTCGGAGTGCGTGGTTGCAATTCCTGGCTGTGGCTGTCTCTGCTATCTGCAGTCTTCAGCAACGGAGATAGCTGGATAGTGGACGCGTGGCTCGAGCAGATCTACAGTATCACTAGCACAAGTGCCTACTCGAGCAGCCAGCTACCGGTAGCAACCATACTTTGTGCTTTGAATCCAGGGGTTGCTTCGTCTTCAAAATTAATGTTTAGAAGGGGCAGGTGGTCTCCAGCCAGACCAACTACTAGTAGTACGTTCCGCCATTCGATCGAGAATCATCGACCTAATCTACTACCGTAGCGTCTTTCCATCCAGAGCGATGCGAAGCGTTTCTTCTTTGCCTGCTCCCTCGCTTCCACAAGAACCGCCATGACTAGACTAGCTAGAGTAGACTATTGCGAACTCGATCACTTCACTCCCAGTAGAACCCCACTTCGGAGATGCCACTGCTGTAAATGCCATTAAAGAGTAGTTCCGGTACGAGCAAAAAGATGACATTGGAAAGAATCCCCATGACGACCAATGCCCGTACCGACGTGGTGATTTGCAATTGTTGCAATCGCAAGAGCAAATTGCCGGACGTATCGCCAATGGTAGCCACCAAGATGGAAATGCCCAAAAAGGCGGCTTGGTTGGGATGCAATTCTTGGACGCGATTCCACCAATCCGTGCCTCGTATGGCCAGTGTCCATGCAAAAGGCAGAAACAGACAGGCCAAACTGTTAATGACGACATTGCCCGTCAAATAGAGTTGTGCCTGAGTTTGATAGGCTGGTGTGGAGGGTTGGAGTGGTCCCTCGTAGGTCGAGTGGGGGGCATTGACTTTTGCTAGTAAATACTTGCCATAGATGGCATAGGCAAATCCGTAAATGGTAATGGCCGAGAGCGCTATACACGCCAGAACTTCAAAGGGTCCTTGTTCCAGTGCCGATGGGTACAGCGGTGTAATTCTCCATTGCAACCAAGCAAAGGGTAGGAGGTAGATGGCACTGAATTCGTAGACGGATTTGGGTTCGGCCATGCGTGGTGCTTTCCAATCGCGGGGTTCATCGAAACACATTTTGAAATGGGCCAGCGACGTCAAGAGGGTAGAAATGGCGCAAATAGCGAATAGTGAAGGTGCCATTTGGCCCGTTGTGGCGGTGATAAAAGCGAGAGAGACGAGTGGAATGTGAATGGCAATTCCAATGACATCTTCTGGGGTCCACAACCGGTCAATATGGGTCCCATCAAAGGCTTCCAAGGAGACAATCTGATCCCAACCAATTTGGAGTTCCTGAAATTCACTCAGCTTTTCTTGTTCCTGCTGTTCCTCTGTGATGGTGGTGGCAATGGCGGTCCTTTCTGGAAGGGTACTAGCCTCATCAGAGTTCGTGTTGGCCAGGAGGAACACTGATCTTCTTCTGTCACTGCTACTTGTTATCAATGGTGTGACAGCTGTGTGGATCGAAGAGGTGGATGGAGTGATGATGGGAGTGAATCCATCCACCACCAATAATAATGGCAGCAGCCCGATACTGATGAACCATTGCAGTGCACAAAAACGAATGGACAATTTCATTTTTGTGTGTGAATGGCGACTTCAGAATGCTTCTTGCTCCTCAGAGTAGCTACCTGGTACCTTTGCCAGTGGGTCCTCTTTGAACTTGCCAGTGGTTCCTCTTTGCAGGTTGTTACCGAGAGCAGCTGCCGAAGCATCACCCTCCTCATTGTCGTCGAACATCATCAACATGTTGTCAAAAAGCCAAAGCCAACACAAACACGTACCCCCCCATTGGAGTCACGTACAAACTTGGATTGAGTTGTGAATGCTTCTTTTATTATCATTCACGCAACATAAATTGGCTCATTACCTTATAATTTGAATGGTTTGGAGCCAATGAGAAACGAGAACACTGCAAGCTTCCGGCAGCTCTGAACTTGCAGCCGCAAGGCCGACGTTGCATGTTTCCACCACTCATCCGTGCATCCACTATAAGAAAACAACGACCAAACCAAGAAGCGATCTTTTGTACAAGCTGTTTGGATTGTTGTTGTTTGTTCTCTGCGAAGCGTCATCCATTTCGACACCGCATGCACAACCATTTGTTCCTTCCGCCAGAATTTGCACTGCTCGCTATCTGCATGGTGCTATCTGCCTGCTACTAGTCTACTAGCCAGCCAAAGAAGAATCCAAGTTAGCACAACAACCCTTTTCTCACTTTCTTTGGTATCCTTTGAAATTACTGAAATTGTTAGATCAAGCAACAGTGGAGAAACAGAAAAGGATGATGAGATTACAGAATATTTTCTTCCAGATCAGCATGTGGGCGGTAGTTGCCAATGGTGAGCAATAAGGTATCTACCATTATCTTACCCTGCCTAAACTGAAGTCGAGAAGAAATCCACAAGTGGTTGGAGTATACCCCTGTAACCTTTTCTCACTTTTCTTTTCTTGTTATCTATGTTAATACTTTAGGTCTCCAACCTGTACACAACAATCTTCAGGCTAATGGGCATGCCAATGGACAAACCAATGGACATGCTACCCCTGCCAATGGAGTGGCTGCAAGTAATGCTAATGAATTGGTAAGAAATAGACTACTGAACAAAAACAATTGAGAGATGAGAACAGAATTGTGGAAGTGTTGGAAGAGTGTGTGTGTGTGGGACAGTTTGTTGCTGAAGAAGAGTGTGTTGGAGCTTGTTGCTAAGGAATAATGAAGAGAGAGAAACTGGGTGAAAAATGAGCAAGAAGAAGGACTGGACTTTCAACAATCTGATCATCCCCAAGACACTAGCCATGCTTTCTGATCAGTTGGCTGAGCTTGGAGGATGGCTGATGGCTGAGCTTGATTTCCTTGGGATACAAAGCAATGGAAAATAGCCTTTCATTGATTCTCGTGGCTTGGTTTATTATCGATGGTGGCAGAGCCAAGGTAGAGCAAGCGGTTCTTCCGAAGTGAAAAGGCGCCCCTCAACCAACACACAACAGCAAAATATTCCTTTGGTCTCTTTGGACGGATTGGCTCGTCTGATTTCGTTATGTTGGATTCATTCATTCATTCATTCCATTTTAATTCAATACTGTTGTTGTTCCGTTTTTCTCACAAATCCGTCTATCTTTCTTTTTTATCAATTTTTAATACACTACAGTTCCCCATGAGAAGAGGATCCGCCGTCGCCTTGGTCACACCCATGAAACCCGTCACGGGAGAAATTGATTTGCCCGCATTGGAACAACTCTTGGAATGGCATATCGAATCGGGAACGGATAATCTCTGTATTCTGGGCACCACCGGTGAAGCCAATACATTGACCATGAAGGAACGAGAAGCCATCCTCAAAACTGCCGTCAAGGTTTGCAAGGGACGCATCCCCATTTTGGCAGGATGTGGGACCATTGACCCCGCGCATGTCAAGGAAATGACAATGCAAGCCATGGATTTGGGAGTCGATGCCAGTCTCGTCGTGACACCCTACTATGTCAAACCACCGCAACGAGGTCTCATTCAACACTTTACCAATGCCGCCGATTTGGGACTACCTGTGGTCGTTTACAATGTCCCCGGTCGAACTGGAGTCGATTTGTTGGATGAATCCATGGCACTCTTGGCACAACACGACACCATTGTCGGACTCAAAGATGCCACGGGTGATTTGTCCCGATTGACCAATTTGAAACAAGAACTCGACAAATCGAATGCCGAAAACAATAATGACATTTTGATTTATTCCGGGGACGACGGCACCAGCAAGGATTTTGCCGTCTTGGGAGGCGATGGCAGTATCAGTGTCACGGCCAACGTGGCACCGACGGCCATTCACAAAATGTTGCAAGCGGCATTTGCCGGAGACGACGAATTGGCCACGGAAATTAACGAACCCATCAAAGCGTTGCACAACGATTTGTTTGTCGAAGCCAATCCCATTCCCGCCAAATGGGCCGTTTACCGACAAGGACGTATTCCCTCGCCCATTTGCCGACCACCTCTGGCGGAATTGGATGAAAAATGGCATAAGCCTCTGGAACGATTGCTCCAAGAAGCGGGGGTATTGGAAACGACGAAAGATGTTCATGCTCCTTAATTAATAAAAAAGAGGTCGACTCAAGAGTCGAATGGGGAGAGAGTTTTTCAAAAACGATGCTCTCCTACAATATATCAACAATCTGCGCCCCTCGGAGCAGTTACCGCCAGCCAAAAACAGTCAATCGGCGGTACCTGGTACCGTTCTCAAATACCACCCACTGGTCCACTCCCCTTTTATTTACATCATACACACGTTAACCACAATCAGACACTCATTTTCATGCCCAATATCACAGGCTTCACTTTTAAAATTGGCGACCCGCTTATCGCTTGCTTCTACGCCAAATTGGAGTGCAACACAATCCGCAACGACCATTGCCTTCGCACGTTTGATGCATTATTAAGCTGGTTGCTGATACCATGCCGTCGCACTTCTGACCGCCAATCCTAGTCGGTCGGAGGGTGAATTTGATTTATTTGTGAACTCATACAGTTAATTCGTACATCCCCGTTGGTGCCGCTGACGGAAGTTGTTGGTCGAGCAATTCTCATTGCTGAAGCCACTTTGGTTTGCATGCGCCATGCCACAAAACATGTTTTCTTCCTCAGGCACAGGCTCATGGGCGAACTACTATTCAACCCGAAGAGCCTTGCTCCCACGACGTTTTTGGTGGTGGTAGCCTACTATGTGGGGGCAAATACACCCTTCATGTGCCCCCATCTCATCGTACCTTTGCCCTCCCTTCAGTTGGCATCATTGGTTCCCTGGCTAGCACTCTATTTGATGCCATTGATTTCCCCTCCTCTGCCTGCAGTGATGTCTTGCTTGTAGTATGCAAAGGGAAGGCCAATGCCTTGGTGCACCTTTTGTTTGGCACAGACAATTGTCCAAAGGATAAATAAACTGAAGAAACTGGCTACCATGTAGCTTGCTGGCTTGCTTGCGGTCTCGGTGGTTCGTGGCACTTCATGAGGATGTGCCGGGGTCTCGGAAGCGCTCGATCGAGCGCTCGAGCTTACAAAGTGTACTCGCATTTCTGCATGATGTGTACCGATACCGTGCATACCCTGGTACCTGGTAACCTGGTAATGTGCTCGAGGTTTTGAAGGTAAGCAAGGGCATACCAACGAGTGCCAGATGAAAATTGGAACGCATGGCTGGTTCGTGTTTTCAAGAGAACCAACCAACAAGATTGAGTGCTTCGAGTGCCTTTTCGTTGCCTCACAATGCAAAGACAAGTTGGCTGCTCGGTATTGTATCGGTAAAAGAAGTGTCAAGTATCAAAATGGGAAACGACGGCAACGAGGGCGACGGAAGCCCACAAATGCAGGCCTCCTTGAAGAGGAAAGGGGAACCTGACTTGATTATTGTAGTTGGCGGTGTGGAGTTCAAGGAATACGGTCAAATCATCTCTTCCTGGAGTGACTACTTTGATATTGCCCTAAATAGTGGAATGAAAGAAACAGAGACAAAGAGATTTGAGTTCCCGGATAGATGCCCCAAAGAATGGGGGTGGATAGTCAGCTTGATGGCTCCCATGTCCAAGGAGAAGGTGACTGAGAAAACAGTGATGATTGCTTTGTCTTGGTTTGATGAACTTTGTTGCACCGTTGGGATGGAGGAGTGTGACAGAGTGCTGCACAATGATGTCATCGAGCCTTTGGCCCAAGCGCACACAGAACAAGCGGCAGATTCCATAATGACACATCTCAGCACAAGCTTGCAATACAGACTCCCTCATTCGCAACACCAATGCTTGGATCTTCTCGTTGAGATTTTGAAACAGAATCCATACGTTCTGAGCAAAGATTCTCTCCAGAAACTTGTCCTTTTTGTGAAGGACCACGGGGCATGTTGCCAGAGGCTCTTGGATGCACTGCGAAGATTCCTGCCCGAGTCGATGTCGGAAGAGCATCTGGAGATGCTTGTCCAGAATGACATTCTACATCACTACTTAGCATGCGAGATTGATCGGTGTTTCCAACAAGCTCGAGCTGAGCAACAAAAGAATCGAGCTGATGAGTTGCTTACGATGCAGAGGAGACTCGTGGAGACCGTCAAGCGTGAGGTAAAAAAAGAAGGTGTCCGATTTCGTATCAAACGAGACAGTTTCGTTGGTAAATTGTTTCCCCCGTCATGGGAGCAACTTACTAAAAACAAAATCAAAGTCCATTTATACTCTCAAATGATGTTCTTCATGCAGACCCATATCTCCATTCCCCTTGTGAAAGCTACCCATTTTTGTCTCCGTGGATCCCGCAAAGCCAAACCCTTTGCCCCCCGTAATGGTCCTCAGTTTCTTGCCCCTGATCCCACAGAACCCAGTCCTGAATTTCGACTGTTCTTTGCTTAAGCCTGGCCCCGGCTGGCTTCCGTAGATAATTTCCCTACTCTAAACCCCCGTTAACGGATTCAAACAAGCTGTGCTTGAGGACGACCCACGAGCCGAGGCCCGGGTATTTCCCACAGTCAAGTCCGATAACCGGCCACACGCGCCCCGGAGGGTGTGCAACTGTTTGGGAGCAAGTTACTAATAGTTTTAATTAACTTTCTGGCTTCTAGCTAGCTAGAAGGTTACTATTATGCTACATATATACATGTATGTGTTGACATTAGGCTCAGGACTTCCATCGTAGGGGGGAGAAGACGAAAGCTGATGGTGCAATCCCTGGAAAGCTCTACAGCTGCTTTTCTTTGTCTATTAATAATTGCTATCTGCTGTTGAGGAAACCAGAGTTACGAAGACGAAAAATATGAGCGCTTTTCCCTGCTCTCTTTTGGTGCAGTGCTTGTAATAACAAGATTTTGCAATTACTTCCACACCAAACATCAGACAGATTTAGTTGAGTGGACCTGGAGGCTCCACAGTGGACGACACGATGCTTTGAGTGGCGTGCAACTTGATTCAATCAATGGAATAGACTCCACAGCACTAGAAGTATGCCATACATGTTTACTTATGGTTGGGAGTCAGCATCCACGGAGCTAGGCAAAGTTTTCCACGACGCGGAACGGAGAGACTGAAAGGCTGGAAAATCTAGGACGATATTTCAGCTTAACCAGTTTACTTTAGCAAGCAATTCGAAGGAAGATCGAGGATCAAAGATCAAGGAAGTGCAAGGAGACAAAGAGCACACACCATGTCGAGCAGGCAAGAGAAAGAAGAGCTTCAGGAAGAACTGGCGATGGCCATTGATCTTCGGTCTTTGGAACATGTCGAGAAAGCGCTTGAGAAGGGAGCCGACCCTAGCCGCGTAGATGTATGGGGCACCTCACTCCTCACACCCTTGGACTTAGCTATCAAGGAGGGCGTCAAGGAAAAGGACGAATCCACGTTGGACATCATCCAAGCCTTGGCCCAGGCTGTCCCCTCCAAGGTGTGCCGTCAGGTTGCCAAGAATACATTGACCAGGATGAAAAGAACATCGCAGAATCCTTCGAATCCATACGATAGGTCTATTCCGACCATGGATCGAACTCGAAAAATCTGCAGGTTACTTCTATCTGCTGCCCAAGAGCGGGATGAGGATTTCCACCACAAGACTCAGCCTACGCCAAGATCCACAGTTGGCACTTGGAAGGCATTGCTTTTCTCAGAAGACTTTAGTGATGTTACTTTTGTATTTGATTCGACGGACGATGTCTTGTATGCCCACAAATGCGTCCTTGCGGCATCTAGCAACTACTTTGCCGCCTACTTCAAAGGTCCCTGGGGCAAGCTTAGCCAGCACAAGAGCGGAACCTGGAAGACTGACGTCCCTTATCCCGTCATGCGAGCCATACTGGCTTACATTTATACCGGTGACCTTGACGAGGTCGTTTTGTTAGAACCTCAGCAGCTGGGAGATTCCCTTGCCATTGCTGTCCAATATCAACTGAAGGATCTCCAAGACTATATCGAGGCTGCCATGAAGAAAGCTATGAGTCTTAGCAGCGTCAAGGAAACACTTTTGATGGCCCATCTTCATGATCTCTCTGGTTTGAAGAATGCCTGTTTTGACTTTATCCGTAGGAACGCCGCAGAAGCACTCTTTGTGCCAGAAATAACAAGCATTGCTCAAGAGTACCCCGACCTTTGGTCCGAGACAGCCATGGCTGTGTCGGGACGAAAGAGACCCAGGGAAGACTCTGATTGATTGATTGAGTGAGCTCACTGCAGCCTACTACTAGCTAGTAGGAAAACGGACCAATGCTGAACAGCTAGCTAGCTCGACCGAGTGCAAACTTTGGGTTTCGCTCTACAGCTGTGCATTCAATTACAGCGCACTGAACCAATAAGTTCAACGTCTCAGAAAACAAGCACTTATAGGTTGCTTAAATTTCAAAAACAGGGCTACAAAGTAATTCTTGAGGCAATCATCGGTAGCACCTGTCGCAACAGGCACAATGCATTGCAGCGTGGCAGTCTGCTGCAAAAATTGACAGCTTGGACTTGCTGCGAGAGCCACGTAGATCACAAATCTCGCCTGGTATGGTCCCCGTAAACTTGCTGTTGTAGAGCATCAGCTTCTCTGCAAGCAAGCAAGCAAGAAGAGAGGCGAGAGTGGACAGATGGAGATGAGCCAATTGGGCGGTCGTTGGCGAAACTCGAACGAAATGATCTTTCAGGCTACCGGTACGTACCGAGATTCTGACACTCCCCCAGTTGCTTTGGAACAGTGCCGGTCATGAAGCTGTCTTGCACTTGAAAGTCTCTCAACCTGGAGAATCCATTGATCTCTTCTGGGATAGATCCCATCAAGTCATTGTCATACTGATGGTGTTGCAGTGGTCAAGTCAGAAACGGAATGCCACAACGCTACCAGCTCACGTCCGCGCGCACGTACCAGATGGAAGATTTCCAGGCTTTTCATGTTCCACCATTCTTCTGGAATAGCACCACGGAACAAGTTTGTGTTGATTTTGAGGATCTCTGCATGCGGCAAGAACGAGGACCGATTGTGAGAGTTTTGCGCATCACCCAAGAAGCGCGGTCGACAGGCTATCGGGTCTACCGAAGCCAGGAATGGCACTTACTCAGGTTGGTCAGAGCCCCCAGAGATGTGGGTATCTTGGCCGGTTTCTCTGGTTCATCATGATATTGTCCAAATGTGTTGTTCCGTATATCCAAGACCTGCAAGCTGTGCAAACGACCAAAGATGTCCGGGACAGGTCCTTGGAACTTGTTGACGCCCAACTCGAGCCGTTGTAATTTATGCAAGGAATCCATCTCTGGGGGCAGAGTACCCTCGAGGCGGTTGGAACCCAAGGAAAGTTCGACTAGATTTCTGTTGCGAGTTAAGTGAAAAGGAATCTCTCCAGACAACTGGTTGAGAGCCAGCTTCAGAAAGCCTGGTTGGATTGTGTGGCCAGACAGAAGCAAAGAGGATCATAGTATGAGACGTTGCGCGAAGTCTCAGCACAATCCCGTCCGTCGGCACTTACGCAAGGTGGGGATAGGAGAGGTATCTCGAATCGACCCTGTCAGCATGTTGTCCTGGGCACTAAAGAGTTGCAGGCTAGTGAGTCGTCCAATCGACGTTGGGATCTCTCCTGTAAAGAGGTTACCGTCGAGGGTGAAGTTTTGTAGGTGTGCAAAACTACCAAGAGAATCAGGCAACGTGCCACTCAGACGGTTCTTGGAAAGATCCAACGTGATCAGATGGGACCACGAAATTCTAGTATCCCACAAGACGCCAGGAATCTCCTGGTGCAAATGGTTGTAAGACAGATCCAAGTGCTCTAGCTCACGAAGCGCACGGAGTTCAGAAGGGAGTTGTCCGGTCAGGTGATTGCGCTGCAAGTGGATGGAGCTGACACGACCAGAACGATGACATTGCACTCCATACCACTGGCATACATTTGCCTCAGTCATCCAGCCAGAGCTGTGCTGCCACCCACTGCTCTGCTCGTCGTTGTTCGAGGTGACCAGAAAGGCAGCTTGCATGCTCTCATCTCGATCCAACAGATGGGGGTTGATCCTCAAGGCCGCTTGCAAACTTTTCGAATCGACCGTGTCTTCTCTGTGCAACATGGCAGTGCTGGTATTGTTGTTCAAACTGGATGAATGATGTGTGGAATAGAAGAAGACAACCAGGGCATATCGCTCGAGCAAGTCGATGTGTGCAGTATCTGAAAAGTCAAGTGGATCGAGTCTCGCTGGATCTGTCTCGCACATCCACTCTAGGGCCTTGTGGGCAAGACTGGTCTCATCGTCCAAGTCTCGGGCAGAGCTAATGTGGGCATGAAGAATGATGGATTCGATGGCCCTCCACCGAGGGCTGTTATGGTGTCGTTGCTCGAGCTCATAATGAGCTGTCGTGGTGGGCAAGAAAGATGGTGTCGTCGAGGGCATCAAAGGTGAGTCAGAAGGTGTCGTCGTGGGCATCAAAGGAGCGTCAGATGGTGTTGTAGAGGGCTTCAAGGATGCGTCCGATGGTGCTGTAGAGGGCATCGCTGTTGCTTCAGAAGAGTCCTGATCTTCACCGCTCTTGATTTGCAAAGGCGGCGAGTGCAATCGCTTTGGTGGCAAAGACGGCATCGCCTCATGTTGCGATATGACAGGCGACAAAGAAGGTGTCGCAGAAGGCAAAATGAGCGTTTCTGCCATTGCATCTGAAGAGTTCAGGTCTTCACCGCCCTTCTCCGCCGAAATGGAGCCCCCAGGCATTGGAATGACCCCTGCCAAGACTAAGACAACGACCAATAACACTGTCGTCAAACAGAGACACTGACAACAGGCCATCATGGAAATTTCCATTTCTTCTTCATCGTCATCGTCCTTGGAACCTTCTTCTCGAATCGTCTTGTCCCCTTCATCTTCTTGTTCTTTACGGATACGGAAACTGTTGCCCAAGAAGATTTCTGTCATATCTCTTGAAAGGGTACGCAAGATGTTCTTTCCCCCTCCTCCTCCCTTTGCTCGGCGAAATCGACGGGGACGTGCGTCGCCACCCTCTGCAAGTGTTCCCGATCCTTGTGTCGATCCAAATCGACCGGACGTAGTAAAGCGTTGTCTACGTCGTTCGGCAATGGTACTGCTATCGTCCGTCATGGCCATCAGATTCACACTCTGATCGACGTGTTCAAACCGCTTTTTCTTTCCGAAAACCCCCTCCTGTTGATCGTTTCGCCGCATATGAGCAGGGCGTCCGTAGGTGCTAGTCAGGTCCAAGTCGGAACCCGCCGCACTAGTAGTTCCGGTTGCCGTGGTGCTCGACGCAGCACCACTCGTGCTGGCAGTTTGTGCCGTGCCTCGACTGCTGCCCGAGGGTGATCCCCAAAACAAACTCGACGAAGCCTGGAGCGACGTGTGATGCGGAGCAGCCTGTTCCTTATGTCGGGCAGTTTGCTCCATTTCGGCCGTGTAACGATCCAATAGCGCATTGGGCGAGAACCCCGAGCTGTCGCGACGCGAGGAATCATCCAAGTCTACTGAAGTACTGGCCCAATCCAGAGCGGCATTGCGAGTGGTGCGAGTACTAGTACCTCTCATGGAATTTGTCGGCATGGCTTCTCGAATGGACATCTTCTGTTCTTCTGTTTGGTGCGACGATGATCGAGGAGGTTTACTCTTAATAGCGCCACTCGTCGTCATGGCAGCTCGATTGGCACGACGATTACCGCGGTCAGAAGTGGGTTCTGACACGTTGCGATGTGTAAGAGGTTTTTCTACAGCTGCGGTCGATCGCGGACCTATAGCCGATGTGGCATGAGCCGGGATGTTGCGGCTTCGAGCTCGTTCCCTCTTGGGAGACGTTGGCGTTGTCGGTGTCGGTGATGGTGGCGACATGGTTGTATTGTAAGTTTCTATACTCCGGTAACCAACTGAAGCTGCAAACAGATCATGAACATCAACTACCATTGGAGCGCCGTGCCGACCATGCATCAAATCGTCGAGTTGGCATTGTTTGCAAGGTTTTAGACGGAAGTGGTCGAGAGTTTTACCGGGTGCAAAATGCTCGATCGGAAAGATACGCTCGAGGTGGGCAACTGGTACAAAAGATACTTAGAGAGACGTCTATGCAAAGCTTTAATGACTTGTAGTATGTTAAATCTAAGAATGATTCGATTTAATCCATTTAATCATTCTTGAGCACAAAAGGGTTTTTAGACTCCGTCACTTTTCCCTTGGCCTTTCCACATCAATGAATGCCATCCTCATTCTGCAGGATTACACACAACAATAGAAATGATGGGGACCAACCACAGCCTCCATTGTCCTGGTTCATCTCCTCGGAAAGACTCTTCGTGCACTCCCAACGGATCTGAAACAATTAGTCTTGAATCTCCTTGTAGGCTTCATGGACTATGCAACCATGTATTAGTTTTGTTAGTAAATTTTGTTAGTAAAAAATATGCAATAACAATTAGCTACGGGTAGAGTTGCACTCCCCACATGCATCACATCCACATAGATCAGTGGAAGAGCAGGCAAAGTTCATTTTTTCCACATCGTAGCAAATCGAAATTATCCCAAAGTAAACATTGCAGATATAGGACATGTCCCACACCTTTTCACAAAGTGCTTCTGGAATAGACCCCGAAAGAGAGGTGTTGGACAAAGTAAGGTGATCCAGGGCAGCCATACTGGTCAGGCTTTCAGGGACTCCGCCAGTCAGATTGTTGTCATGGAGAAACAGCTCAGTCACATTGCTCAAAAGCCCAAGCTCGGACGGTATGCTGCCAGAGAATCTGTTTTGAAAAAGCCACAGCAGCTCGAGGGAAGTCAAAAGGCCTAGCTGCGATGGCAGTGAACCTTCCAGATTGTTGTTGTTTATCTTGAGGAATGTCACCTGTCCCCAACTCTCAAAGATTGAGCCTGGAAGTGTTCCGGTAAACCTGCTGCCATTCATCCAAGCCATTGTCAAATCTGTTCATTGTGGGAAGAAGTATTTCAATGTGAGGGCACGATGGGCAGCATAAACACACACAAAAGCTGGGCAGCGATCCTACTTTTAAACAGTCCAAACTCTGTAGCGATTGTACCCGTAATGGCATTGTCATCAATGTCTATTCTCCTCTGCTCACACCAGAGGGCAATTCTGATGGTTAGCGTGATTGCTGTGAAGACATGGATCAACCTGTTCTGAACTTACCATGTTTGTCAATTTTAAAAACTCGCTTGGAAGAGATCCGGTGATTTGGCAGGCCCACACATTGAACCTTCTCAGGTTAGAGAGCAAGCCAATTTCTGTTGGAATTGAAGTATTGAGTGGAATGTGATGGAGATTGATGCAATCCAACTTGGTCATTTGGCCAATCTCTGAGAGAAGTTTTCCACCGGAAAGTCCTTCCAGACCCTCTGCTCTTAATGTGACCATGTTGGTCAACCTGTATAGCTCCGTAGGAAGGGTTCCTGACATGCCGGGACAGTATCGCAAACTTAGATGGTTAATGACCTCCAAGTTACCGAGTTCACTTGGGATTGACCCGGTGAACGGATTGCGGCCGAGCTCTAGGTGCAAAAGATTGGAGAGCTGTCCAATTTCCGTTGGGATTTGGCCTGAATGATGATTTCGGTCTGAAGAGAAAGTGCGTAGGTTGGTCAGCAGACCAATCTCAGATGGAATCAAGCCATAGAGATTTTCATTTGACCCAGCTTCCAGATACTGTAAGGAGTCACTCAACAAAGAGAGCTCTGGTGGGAGGGTTCCAACCATGTTGTTTTCTGTGAAAACCAAGTGCATGTACTGCCCATCAGCATTGCAGACAGAATCTTGAAACTGACTTTCCGATCCCACTTCAGTGAGTAACCCTTCATGGAAGAAAAAATTCGTTGCACCACCCACAAGATTCCTGAAGTACCAGGAACATTCATCCACATTGTAGCTGAGCCAATCCTCCTGGAGATTCCAGGCTTCCCCTCCTGTGCTGTAGTAGAACACAACCAAGGCAAAACGCTGCAGTATTTTCCATTGGGGATAGGATGTCCTGTTGGGGTCAGTCAAAACCCAATCATAAGCTCTGGCTTGAGCCGAATAGGGATCTTCAAGTGCAGAAAGTGTGCTTCTGGGAAGCAAATCCCATGTATCAGCAAGAATTGTAGGGGCAGAAGTCGGGGAAGGTGTCGGGGATTCTGTCTCCATGAATTCCACCCCAATAGATGTAGGCTCTGCCATATCTTTGTTCTTTTCTGGGGCCAGAAAGGCAACAAGGATCATAATGACAGCAAATTGGAGGATTAACCCAAGAAGCAAAAATGTCTTGATTTTCTTTGACAAGCCATTTCTTTCAGCTTGTTGTTCTCCATCGACACTATGGGCTTGTGGTAGGAGATGATGGGGAAGGGCTTCTTCGACTGGGTTGGCCACAGCCAAGCCATTATTATGTTCCATCACAGGAGCAGTTTCACGAGCGGTTTCCGCTGGATCGTTTTGCTCGACATCGGCAGTTTCATGATTCGCTTGCATTGAGCTGACAACCAAGCGGGAGAGGGTGTTGGCTCGCTGGAGTTCCATACCAGGTGCGGCAGAATAGGCTCCTGGAAGCGTGATAACAGACTGCCGCTGCGGAGCTGTTGTTATTGGTGGCATGAATGTACCCGTAACACTGCCTGGGGCGTCTAAATCATCTGTGGACTCTGCCACATTATGTATGGCCTGCCTTGAATGAGGTTCTGTTTGTGCAGCCCCTTCATCCATCGTCGTCGTCGTGGAGTTGCCAAGCTTTTCAACATCAGTTTTCTTCTCGCTTACCACATCTGATTCCCCAGTTCTCGCTGTAGCCGTGTTCTCACTAACACCAACCATGATATCCTTCGTGTCACAAGCAGTGGCACCATTGCCTTCGAAGGCAATGGTGATATCCTTCTTGTCCTCCGCAACAGCTGTATCCATTCTTTCGTCAGACGTTGTTTAGAGGGTTGACTCTGGTGATCTAGGACTATAGAACGGTTGTTTCTTCTGTTGCTCTGACAATGGGGAGAGCGATGGGGTGCTTGCAAGAGGGCAAGGGCTGCGAGCTGCGAGGGCAAATAGGTTGATGACTCGACGCTCGTCAGTGGTCAGAGGACAAGGTGGCAAAAACTTCCATGAGATTTATGCGGAGAAAGAGAAGTGCTCTTTCTCTGCCAAAATGCAATAAATCTTTACTTTCCGAACGACGTCGAATTCAGATGCCAGCTACTGACGTGTACTAATTTAAATAAACCACAGTTGCAGATACGTCTCCCCTTGCAGCAGCGTGCGTCGATCGTAGTGTCCCGCCGGCATGGTACACTCATGGTATTGTAGGCATTCAAGTTGAACACCTACGCGTATGATGTCATAGTTGTCGGGGTTATCCTTCTACCCTTCAGCCAACAGCCAAAGATTCGATTCGATTCAGAGGAGCTCTTGTCACTGTAGCGGTACTGTACCCAAGCCACAAGCCACAAGCCACGACGATGCTTAGGATCTTCGCTGAGTAACGGTATCTGTATTCGTAGAGCTATCTTTGAAAGCCACATGGATTTGTTTTCGATTCAGACTACAAGCATATAGTAAAGCATTCCTGCGTTTTCACCCGCTAGCTAGAAGGCACTGAATTTTAAGTACTTTAGTTTTCTTGGCTACTGGACTGCCTGCGACTATTAATATTGTTGGTGGTCCTCGTGGTCCAAATCGTACAGATATTGAATGCAAGATCCTTGATAGACATTGCTTCGATCCATGTACGCCCAATGAATGATACCACTTTGAAGGTGCAATCGCTCCTTTTTGGAGATCATGGTCCCATTGTGCGGGACCAATTCGTTCATGCCTCCCGGTATCGTGTAGACGTCGCTGCGGGCAACTTTGGTGGCCGTCTTGTTGTGATAACCGACATGTGTTCCCGCTTGAAAAATATCCACCTTTGGTCCATTGGGTACGAATCCCCACGACAAGGCTTGTCCGTATCCGTGCTTGAGCGCATCGGGTCCCGTCACAAAGACCACCTTGACCGTGGCGAGATTGTCCAAAGCGCGTAACCGTGCCATGATCTCGTACAGGGTAAAGTAGGCAATGGGGTGTGTGGGTATCATGGCAAAGAACCATTGACTCGGTCGGTTCCAGTTGTCACTCATAAAAAAGGCATCGTCGTTGACACCAATGGGCTGGGTTTCGGTAAATTGTGTTGATGGCCACACATCGATATCGGTATACATGCCACCGTACAAGTAGACCACGAGAATGCGCCAAACATCAATCTTCATGGCTCCCTTGTACTTGACGCAGTTCATGAGTTTACGAAGATGAGGAAACTCGTGCCAGTCTCCATCCAAGAGCGCATCCACGGCCTCGTCGTCGTGAAAGTAGATTTCATGGTAGGGAAACTGCGTCTTCCAGCGGTCCAAGGTTTCTACGACATCTTGGGGAGCACATCGAGATTTCATGGTCATGTGGATGATTCGGGGAATGCGACGTGGTGTTGCTGTGTTGTTGGTACGATTGGGAATGTAGTTGGGAAGGGGTATCAAGGGTGCCGGACACTCTAGAGAAGAAACGTCGTCGCCTCTGGTAAGAGTTTGCAACGGAAGCAGATCATTGGTCCTGGTCAACAATCGTGCTGATTTTCCGTCGTTCTTGGGTTTGGCAGTTTGGTGGTCATGCTGGTAGAACCGATAGTAGGTATCGACCGAGTTCAGATTCGCTAGAACCCTCTGTGGATCCAGCCGGGTAATATTTGTTATCGTGAATAGTCCTATCACAACCAATGCATTGGTAAGTACCCGCTTGGTCCCCGGTTTGCTTTCGGATTGGGATGTCGAAGACATGGTTCTAGCTAGCAATTGCTATTCTTGTGTCTTTGTTTTGTATGCCATGTGCTACCTCCTACTTGGCCGTTGCTTTTTCTTTGTGGCCTAATTTTTCAGATCTGCACCCGACATGCTCCCGCGACCAAAAGCAATTGCCTTGCCGGTGCCCGTACGGTACACCCTTTTCGAACCAACCTTTGCGGCTTTGCGGAACCCCTGTCTTTCCCAACACCGCCACTTTACTCCGTTTGTTGTCTCTGCTGATGGTCTCCTTGGGGCCGAAGCTGAGGCACTCGCGAAACGTATTTCCGCTTTGCTCGCTGCAAAGTGGGAACGCCCTTACTCAGTGGTGCGTGGCTACGTTAATGCTCGGCTCAGCCTAGCTATTTTTCGGGCCCGCCACCTCTGCATGCGTGGCTCTCGTGTCCCTGCTGGCACAATGAGCTACCGTCGTTCTCTCTGGGATGCCAATGGTGCACTTGCACTCTTCCGCTAATTTTGCTCCCTTGTCCTTCCTGGTTTTCCTCCATGCACCCCCCTTCCCTGCCCCCCTTGTTTTGCCCTGCTCGCGTCCTCATTGCTCTCCCCGTATGCCCACCACACCAGCCACCCACCACCGCAGCCACTGCTTTGCCTAGCCTCGCCCCCCTCGCTCCTTAACGTATCTATTTAGTATTTAGTTATTACCTTTGCGGAACTGCATACTGGAACAAGAGCTATTAAGTATGCTTCCTTGCCTGGAATGGTACACGTTTCATGAAATCTATTTTACGCGTTTTTCCTTTGCTATCCGTGACAACTTGGTCTTTCGGTGGCCCGGTTCTTGATTATTGAGCAGTCGTTCGGTCCACTGTTTGCTCCCTCTCTCTGCCCTCATGCCCGGCCATTGATCTGCTCGGTGGCGACCACACACCTTGGACCAGGACCTGTCCAGTGCGTTCCGCCCTATCTTCGCCCCGCCACTATTGTAGGCTCAAACAAGGCATGCTTGGGCTTGGGCCGAACATGGTGTGCTCCCGAAGAAGAAAAGCGCAGAACATGTAGTCCATCGCCCTGTTCTTTAGCAAACTAAACTGCATAGTCCACTTCGACGGAACGACAGATCGATTCGTCGGAGGAAACTGCTGACGAGGTCGGGCGTGTCTCTACCTCCTTCGTTACTTCAACGTCCTCCTTCTCCGCCGATTGGGAATCGATGTTCTTCTTGGTCTTTGCCATGTGTAACAAAGCTTTGGCCGCAAATACGTTGGCACAAAGGATACCACAAGTCAGTGTGAGCGTGATACCATTGACAAACGCTGGGCTGACTGCAGAGTCGGAACGATTCCACCATTCCGAGAAGCTCTCGTTTCGCACTCGCCAGGCAGAAGAAGATTCGTCAGACTGTTGTATCACCAGAGCAATCAAGAGCCCAATCACAACTATGCGGGAAGCAATGAACACAGCCGTGGACAGCTTGCACATCCGACTAAACCCCTTTGGGTTTCTCTCTCGGTATCCAATATTCCTTAGCAGCAACACAATGTAAAGTGGTTGCTCTGTAAATGCCAGCAATAGCAGGGTCGACCCAAATTTGTATGCAACATCACTGTACGTATGATTCTCCAATGCATAGATCGCGATCGTGGCAGAAACGGTCAGCACATGATGCATCACCAGCGAAACGCGGACTTGGATCCTGTAGAAGAGCTCCAGGATGTAGAGGATACATTGCATCGTCACAAGGCCACGCATGAATCTGTACGTGTTGGGGTCTACTGCATTGTAGTATCCGTTGTCGGGGAACATTTGTACAAGCGTGACGCATGCCATTGGCAATGCTACAGAGCTGAACAAGAGCTCACCAATGTATACAATGGAGTTTCTTCGTGTGCGTCGATCTGGGCTATCAATGCACAGTTGTTTTGCCACTGGCCTCCACGACAGCAAGCGGGTGAAAAAGAAAGCACCTAACATGACCAACTGTGCACACAAGGCAGCGTCGGAGAATTCAAAGGTAGACGGATGCATCTTGGCGCGGACCATTGTATGACAAAGGTTCTCGCCGAACCCGGTCTTGGTGTCATAACTGCGATCGGCTGGGTTGGGCAAGAAATTGTAAGAGCTGTAATTCAACATTCGGGCGTTGACGACAGCGGGACCCATGAAAGAGTTTAAGAAGGGCTCGTTGGGTTTCACAAAAGCTCCCATGGCTCGAGCCAGATTGGGTATTCCTGGCGCAGTGCCCATGTGTACCCCACACATTTCGTCCAGTGTCCGAAAGCCACCATGGACATCTTGATCCTTTAGAGGTGTGAAAGTGCATGTGATGACGACTGCATCTCCCGGCATGAGGCGCCATCGGTTCCAGTCGGGCACCTGTCGATCATAATCATAGGACATGCTCCTATAAACAGTTTGGATGCGCTCCCCATCGCGAATCAGCTCGACACGACCACGGGACCCCAGCAAGTGCATGTGGAAGAGTGAACCAAAAACCAAAACGCCACCGTCGGGGACGTATTCACGGGTCGCGTCCGCTGAGATTTGGAATTGAAAGGTCAGTTCCTTTTGCTCTGGATCTTGTGGAATGTGTATGGAATCATGCAGCGCATCAAACTGGAGCAACCCAGCAGAAGAAGTTCTTGTCATGAGAGCCGGTGGCTGCACCCAAACTCGCATACCTGTGCGATCATTGACAATTGGTTTGTGGAAAGGATTCTCGTAGTGCACTTGCAGAATGTACTTGCCTTTCGGCAATTCAAAGTGTAGACCGGAAGGAACCGTGTTTTTGCCAGTTCCTTTGGCATAGGACGCCTTGATTCCACATCGAGGCATTTTATCAAAACAATCCCATGGAGTTCCGTCTTGGTGTTCTGGTTCCACGAGCTCTGGGTCATCGCAGTAGTGTAAGTGCATGTGATGAAAGACCGAGTTCGTGTCGGAGCCATTCGTTGTACGGCCATCATCCCAAACGTCTTCCACGGAGGCGAATCGAAGATCCATTGGTAAGTCAAATGTGGCGCAAACGTAATGCGTGACAACTTGAGGATCTAGCTTCAGACCCCGCATTTGGATATCGACCGGAAACGGAGACGTGGCTGTGTCGACGTTGCCACGGGCAAGGACACCATCCGACAATTCCATCTTGGTTGAGTTTGCCAAAGGAGTTTCAAAGCCTTGGTCGAACAAGAGGTCCTCATCCACCATAAAGTTTACCACCCCGGAAGAGCGAGCCGGACCATGGTAGGACAATTCTTCTCCTTCCAACTGACCCGAAGAACAGATGATGTACTGCTTGTGTGGTTCCACCTTGATATCGTGACTGTCACAGGAATCGAGAGGTCTGCGGATGACCACAACCATTCGATCATCTTGGTCGTATTCAGCAGATAGAAGCTCGACATTCTGAAGCACGTCCAGCTGGGGCATGGATGCATTCTTCGAGTACCGGTCTTCGACCATAAACGAACCGCCACTATCAGTGTTGTCGTACATGTACTTGACGACGGCCATGTCGGCCCCCTTCATGGTTCCAAAGTTCGTGATACCAAACGCTGTCCATTCCGCGCCAGCAGTGCTTTTCCAACTGAGGAGCAATTCACGATTGTCCATGTCGACCGTCCACTGAATGTCGCTGCAGCCTTGTCCATCCAAATCGAATCGTCGTTCGAAGACAGAAGGGCTGTTGGCACCTCCGACTGCAGCAGCTGTGGCAACCATTGCCATGAGCGTACATGTATAAAGCGCTTTACAGAAGACCATGACAAGATAGATGATGTAATGTGAACAGATCGCTTTTTGATTGACTTGACTTGTTTGGTTGCGTATTTTGATTTTGTGAGTGTATTGGGCGTTTCTTTGGACTCGACTAGTCTTGCTGCCGGTAGACTGCACTGGTTACGGTTGCACCGTGTTAATGTCGCCGTGCAAGGTTGTTAATTAAACAAGGGACGATTGAATCTCGACGGGACCATTGAGAAACAAGGATGACCATTGACAATCGTTGCGAGGTTTGTGGGGAAATTGGAGTTTGCTTACAGGAGCCAATGAATCTTCACTGAAAAAATCCCAAAATCCAAGGTGATGCACCTGCAGACTAAATTCTGGATAAAGGTCTCAGAAGTGTTGCCTAGCTAGAAGCCTCTCGTGTGAGTAACTCGTGCAGATCACTCTGTACCGGTACCTTCCTTACAAGTACGAGAATAGCTACTGTAGAGAGCGCACAAGCGAATTTCAATGACCCGAATCCCTTGAAACTGTGAGCGCAAACGGTTTACCGAGACTGAGCCTGCTTGCAGAACGGAGGGCTCATTCCAATAAGGCTTCGGGAAAGAGAACTGGCAGTGTCCAATAATTTTGTTGCTGAAACGGTCATTTGTATGCATGACCTTAATACCGGAACGTTCAAGGATTTAACAACGTCAACTCACCTCGTGCGAATGCACGAAAGCACGGAGAAAAATAAATGCACTAGTTTTGTCGAAGGTAATATACCGGTAGACTCCAGCTAGCTAGACTATTAATGGCTACTAGCTAGCTACTGTAGAGTATCTCAAAAGAGCTCGGGGGCTGGAGGGGGACTTAGCGGAGGGCGGAAGGGGGGTTAAGGTGGAATTAGGGTGACCGGCTGGGATTGTGAGGATGGAAGTGGTGGCAAAAATTTAATAATGATATTTCCAAAAAGAAGACCAGCACAACGCGGAGACACGCGAACACTCGAACCTTGGACTGCTTGGTGTGTACCAGTACGTGTTGAAAAGGTGTGAACTTGAACGCACAATTTCTCTAATTTAATCAATATCCTTCCAGCTCTACTGTCTAGTAGACTGGCTATCTGTTTCGTTTTCTCTTTCTCTCTCGTTCAGATTGTGAGCTCTACAACTGAGCTCCGATATGCATACATATACCAGGATCTTTCGATCCTCTGTTTCTCGCAGTTTCATCTGCAGATAGATCTCGTCGATCTATCTTCCTGAAGTGCATGGTTGGCCCTGGAGGGCTTTCCCACTTTACTAAACCTATGGACCTTCATCCGTCCATTCATTTGTTCCATCCCGTCGCTCCTTGCATTCATCTCTTCGACCTAACTTCCTAACCTTTGTAGTTGC